TTATTAGGCACGAGAAACTAGATAAATATTTTATTAGTTATATTTATTTTTATATATTTTTAATATAATTAGTTATGTTATAATTATTATACAACTATGGAACTTCCTCAACTTTGGGACCTAAAGCCTTTGCTTGGGTGGCCCTACCCAACCAAGGGTCGACCCTAGCCTAATCCATGAAATCGCATTATTGACACGCCTAGTTGCACGAGGGGCATGACCAACAATAGAGAATCTCACAGGGTCCCTTATGGAGGGCTAGAGTTGGGGCATTGATTTTATTAACCTTCTTTACCATTATGCCATCATCAAGTCTTTAGCATGATCTGCAAAAGACATTTCATGGCATAAAGAGATGGTAAGGGCTTTGAGAATAAGTACAATCACAAAAGTTGACTGCCACTCACAAATATTTTGACTACACTAAGACGACATCAATTTCTAGCTATCCACATAGTTCAAGTTATAGCATACCATCTCATTTACTATATGACACCATCATTAAAGTTACTAGCATATTCGAACCAGCTAAGAAAGCAGTCATGAGGGTTTAAATGAGAGACCCAATCAACGTTCCACAAAGCGCACCACAATTGCTAGATAAGCCAAGTACTATCACAAGAAAAGAAAGTGCTGTACTGTTTCAATCTCGTGTCTGCACAAGAGACACGTGGCAGCATTGGAACTAATGAACCCTCTCTTTATCAGAGTGTCGTGAACCACCAAGCTTCCTCTCACAAGTGCTAGCAAAAACCTCAATTTTATGAGGCACTAGACCAGACCATATCCTTTCCCAGTGACCTGCATGAAGAGTATTAGTAAGGAGGACTTGACGACAAAAGGAATTGGAGAAATAAACACCACTGAGGTCCATTTTCAGATAAGTTTATCTTGGAAATCTTTATCAATCACCTGCTCAGCGAGAAAAGAGAATTAGAACTGTCCCATTGTCTCAACATACAGCAAATATCTGCCTTCCCTATGCTTCTCCGTTTTCACATTTGTCAAAAAATTATGGATGAATCTTGATTCTATATAGCCATAAGGATAAGTTACAGGTGGTCTTTTTGGTTTTTTGGGTATACATTGAATTAATGTAAAAAATTGGGTGGCAAGCTTAACTGTTAGCATATTTCTTAATTATACAGGCTGCCATAACAATGCAAATGAGGCACTTACTGGCTTCTGCTGCAACAGTGACCTTGCTATATAAATTTTTGATAGAATTCCGTTAGTGATTAGTTAACGACATTGATCTAGAAATGGTAAAATTTTAAAAGCATTAATATTAATCAAAACTTAATTTCTAAAATGTTAACGATGAAAATAAAATATTTTATAAATTTGAGAGATCATCGGTATAGTTTACTCGAAAACCTAAATTGATGCTTAACTTCATTTAGATATTTAATATCAGATATGATCATAAATTCTAAAATAGACGAAATGATATTAATTTATAAGATATCAAGAGAAATTTCGCTTATTGTGTAGTTCAAGACTCAAGGTTTAGGCCCCTAAAAATTATAAATTTTTTATTTTTTGCTATTAATATATAACATGTGAAATTATGAAATGCACTTGATCATCAATATCTACGCTAATTGAAAGAGAATAGTAAGCTTGACCTTACTATAAGGTCAAATAATAGAGTTCACAATTGTTTATAAATTTTAATTTTATTTTTTAATCGATGGTTGAAATTGAATCTTATAAATTTAAGGGTCGTTAAGCAATGACCTTACAATAAGGATAAATTTCATGACCTTACAGTAGCAAAGAAGATATAATTTATTGTCCTTCGTGAGTTTTCTTTTTGTACTCCAAGACAAGGGAGAGAAAACACATAATTTTTTTTCTATCGTGTGAATAAGTTAGATAGATATATCTCCACCATAATTCTTCATGAACCTTATCGCTATTGGATTCATTCGCTCGTGTTTCACATTGCAGTTGAGGCCATTTATAGATTTTGTTTTTGTTTTTTTTTTCAGGTGTAAAAGAGGAAATGTGAGATGTTGTCTTTTAGTCAATTTGTTTGATAACAATTTAATATGACTGTTTCCATGTCCAAGGGAACAAAGAGAATGTGCCCTCTTACTTCTCAAATTTTCCTTTAAAAATTCAGTGCAAATTAATTAACTATGCACAGGCACCAAAAGACAGACCTAGCTAATTATTGTTTTTGTTTTTGTTTTTTTTTCTCTAAGAACATGTTATTCACCTTATAATCGAGGTACTAGCCAATTATTATGATTTTTATTTTTTGTTAAAATTTTTTTGAGTGGTATTCTTTTATTTATTTTTTTTAAAAAAATAAAAATATCAATCATATAGAATTTCAGAATAACAAACAAAATGTGCGTGTGAACACTAGTTGATTTTTGTTTTTTCAGTGAATTTATTGATAGCAAGACAACGAAGGAAATAATGATATTTACCAGCTTTTAATAATAAAATAGGAATTAAATTCAATAAAAGGACTAAATTATGAAAGATAAAATTGAGTTTGAATGGCGAAACTTTGTCCGAAAGACAAAATTTCATAATATTATTATGAAAAAGACACAATCATTAATATAATAAATGAAGATAATAAACATCTCAAAATGGATGAACGTGTGACACTCAAACAAGGAAAAAAAAAATAAAACTCACCCAAACCTGGAAGATTATGGCAAGATCAATTAATAAATTGGGATTGGATGAGGAACATAGTTACTAATTAAGACCAAGGAAATTTGAGACATGGTGTCTTCAAGTTATAATACAAATTTATATATATCTTTATATATAAAGATATAAGGGAGAAAATGGCAGTGTCGTATTTAATGAAAATACGTTTGTCTTTGGAAAAAGGGACAAAAACAGGGAAATTGAGGCACCCAACAGAATATTTCGATTAAATTCATTGAATTTAAAATGAAATTTTATTTTTATTTTGACATAATGCTTGAAAAACTTTATGACCTATTTCAGAAGTTTGAATAAAAGCTTGATTGAACATAAGAAAAGAATATGAATTTATTTAAAATTTTTAAATAGTTAAAGATTTTTTTTAAAAAGTACTATATCTTGTATTTTTTTTTTATTTGGAGAGAAGGGTATGATGGGAATCATAAATCAATCAAGAATTTTATAAATAGTATAAATAATTGTCTCCATGTTTAACACAACAAAATTTGCCTTCCACGTGTCAAGTTGGATTAATTTTTAATTTATAACATACACATAAGATAGAAATCTTTTTTTTTTGTTTTTTAAATTTTCCTATTTAATTTGAATATTCAAAGTTGCTATAAAAGGCTTTGCATAGAAGCACTCTTGGCAAGCTTAATTACTTTGCATCTTCTTGTGGTAACAATGCTAAGGCACTTACTAGCTGCTGCTGTTTTAGCCACGTTGCTAGCTTCAGCTAAGTCTGACTTTGCCTTCTGCAAGCTCAGTCTGATATGGCCACCTGCTCCTTGTAATACTGGAATCGAATGTGCCAAGCCCATCCACAGCATTTTGGATGTCTTTTTTTTTTATTAATTTTGTCGAAATAGAATTCAAACTCTTTATACAGTAAATTCTGTTAAATTATCTATAAAGCAACTTACAAATTAAATTAACCACTTCATAATATGTATTTAAATATAAAAAATTTAAATAGAACTTATATCTACTTACTACGTGAATTGCTTAAGAATTTAACACTAGATAAGTAATGTCATTATTGATTATCCTTAAATCAATAGTTAATTTAAATATAAGAACTAAATTTTTCAAAATTGGCATAGAGGGACTAAAAAGGTGAAATTGAAACACTAAAATGACTAAAGTCAAACTTCAACAAAAAAAAAAACCTATGAATTTTGTAAAAAATGAAGTTCTATTACACACAATGTTTTTACTTCCATCACCATTTGCTTAGTAAAGCAACATTCTTATGCACAAGATTGGCGGTAGGAGCAGGTTCACCACCCCTCAAATTTTAATTTTTATTATATATAAAATTTAATATGTATAAAATGATTATTTTTATAATTATTTTTTAATTATTCTTCATGTAAAATCCTTAATTCGTTATGCTCAGTCCTCCTTCCTTTTTTATTGACACACCATCTTTTACTTGACTTTGGTCATCTTCCTATTGGTTTCACCCCATCCCACAAAAAAGATCTCAATATTTCTAACTGTTTGATCACTCCCTTTGGTGCTTGGAAAATCGAAAGATAATATAAAGGAATAGTCTTTTACGCTTCAATCGGGCTCATCAGGTTTTTGGTCTTTGTTCCGATTTGCCCATGTATTGACATTGTTTTGACCCAACTATATCTCTCTAATTCTGTAACTCATCAGTTTTTTTTTTTTTTTGTCTTAGAGCCAATTAGGAGAGTAAATTTTACGTTCAAATCTCTCAATCATAATTCTTCAAAGTTGTTATAAAAACGCTTTGCATGGAAGTGGTTTGGGGATCTCATCCTATGAGACAGTTTATAATAGAAATTTGAGACTTGGTGTCCCCAATTTATAATAGAAATTAATTAGGTATAACTGTTTTTGACATCAATTAATAACATGTGAAACTTATGGACATCAGTCAAATTAAAATAACATTAATTAAAATAAGGAAGTCAATATATTCAGTGTCGTATGTAATTAAATATCCTGGAACACATGTTTGTCTTTGAACGGACAAAATCTAGAAACTTGAGACACCCAACGCAATTGTATTTTAAATAACACACACCGGATTTTATTGAAGTACTAGACTCGAAATACAGGTAGAACCATGCATAATGCCAAGGGCCAGTAGTAAAACCAAGTACATAGCTTTAAGAGTGTGGCAAAGTTTATGCTATTAAGCTGGTACATAGCTTGCTAATAGTAAATTCGAAAATAAAATAGATTGAGAATTTAAACTTCAAACCTTAATCCTCCTACATGGATGGGTCTAAGCCTGAGTTGTTTATTTAATATTGCTAATTCTAGAAACCCACTAGACAAGAACTTCTTCATAATTCGTCGATATATGTAGCTTCAGAGGGAAGAGGGGGCAACCTTATACGGTCAGTCCGCTCTTTACAATCGCCAGCCAATTGCTTGGGGCAGTCCCTAAAGACGGAGGGTGGCTTTGCCCTTACAAAGCAGAAACGAATTTCCTTTAGCTGAAGCCCTTTTTTAGCCCGACGGTTACATAAAATTTGAGGATATGCTCCCACTCTCACATGTTGCTTGACAGCATCTAATATGGTTCCCACTTCATGCAGTTCATCTCCAGGTTGAATTCCCATAACTGGTTGGAGGAGGGAAGCAAAAGATATGATCAATATTTGGACAAAAAACTAAGGCATATATAATACCTGCATATAGTGAATTTTTCTTGAATGTGATAACCTATAATTCCCTTGGCAAATTTTCTTGATTAAGCTTATCTAGATTTTAATAATAAAATCATTCCTATAGAAAATAGGGTTTAATAAATTATTTTCAAATGAAAATCTTTATCAACTTTATAAAAGCGTTTGGTGATATATGTTTCTTACAGTTGGGTTGGGACAAGTCGAAATTATTTCAAATAATTTAAATGGTTTGAAAATTTACTTGGGGAGAGTTTTGCATGTTCACCTTTAAATACAGTCACATATAATCAATGGTTTTTTTTTTAATGGAAACAATAAAAAAAGATTAAGTATCTTTCTAATTAACTTCAAGAGAGTTTGGCATATGATGAGCTTAAATACAGTAACAAACTATGATATTATTGAAGTTATAGTATTTAGTATTAAATTTGTTTTTATGATTTACCTTCGAGTGGATTGTATCTAGTAGTAAGATCTAAAGCTGCGCTGAAATAATTACGAGGTTTATCAGGATAATCAGAACACATTCCATGGTTTTGCCATTCATGTTCCCAAAATTCCTCTTTCGTTTTCTGCTTCGAAAGGCTTGGCCAAAGATTATTTAGTTTGCTTCCGATGGGTTGCAATGCATCCTATAATTTTACATAAACAAATGTGTAAACAATAAAAGTTAAAATAACTTAAATAGGAAAGTAGATGTCGACTAGTTCAATTGACATATCAAATATATCAATAGTACATAGATTTGAAAATGAATTGCTTACCAAAATATTTTCTGGAGCCGTAGGTTGGACATCGGTGCATTTTTTTACATCATACGGAGGAATCGCCTTGTCATCTTCAAGAGATTGTGGCCATAAACCATGGATTGTAAAAGTTTGGGGGATGGGTGACGGGCACTGAGAAGGGGTACAAACCGAAGGTGGCCATTGCAGACTGAGTTTGTAGAAGAAATCAGGGTAATCAGTCTGACCAGAAACTAGCAAGCTCAATGTGGCTAAGACAGCTGCAACAAGTAATTGCCTCTGCATTTTTACACTCAAGATCAAGATGCTAATCAGTGCTCTACATTAATTCAATGTCTGCAAGGGTTTTTATAAGTACTTCGAGTCATGGTATGGTCAGCCAAAGCTGAGAAAACCCCCAAAAAAAAAAGGGGGAAATGACTACTCTGCCCATTATGAATTAAGGTTCAATAGAGAAAAATGATGAAAACCCCATCATTTTGCACCCATCAATTGTATTTTGCCACATCAAAATTATGTTGAATTTCTTTTGTTATTTTTTTTGAAAGGCATGAAAATATCATTTCTTTTGTTATCTTGGACCCTGGAAACAATCAAATTAAAATGTTATCAAAGTAATTTACTAAAAAACAAAATATCAAACATCAAAACCTCCATTGTTTCTCTTGCACACTTAAGACAAAAAATAATTAGCTAATATCTGGACGATAATGTGAAAAACGAGTTAATGAAAATCCAATAGCAATAAGTTTAGGGAATAATTATGATGGAGATATCTACAAAACCTACTCTTCTTCTTGGCACCAAGACAAAAATTTTTATGTGTTTTCTTTCTGAATTTATCTCTTTTCTTGATAGTACAAAAACAGATCATATATAGGACATCATTAAAACATCAACGGTCTGTTCAAAGGAGATTCTTCAAATCTTAAAAAAATTCTTGGTAGGAACGCTTTCCAACATTACCATCAAAAAGAGCATTGGACTTTAGGCAGAACTCTAGTGTTCCAACATTACCAAGCCTCATGACATTCCCGTGCGATTGATCTCCAAGCACTCTCATAGCTTTCTTTTACTTCTATCATATCTGTATAGTATTAACTATTAAGAATGTACATCGAGATAATTATTTATACTATATAATATAAAGTTTTTGACTAAATTTTGGAAAGAAAAAGAAAAAGCAGAAGACAACTTCAATAATTATTTTTCAAATCACATTTTTTTTTCTCTTCAATAAGAATGTACCAAAATATATTGCATATTTGAGACCTAAAGCCCTTACTTGGGTAGCCTAACCTCAATTTTCTGAGGTACTAGACCAGACCATATCGTTTCCCAATGATCTGCATGAAGAGTATTAGTAAGGAGGACTTGACGACAAAAAGAATTGGAGAAACTAACACCATGGAGGTCCAATTCCAGATAAATTTATCTTGGAAATCTTTATTAATCACCTGCTCAAATGAGAAAATTAAAACTGTCCCATTGTCTCAACACAGCAAATATCTGCCTTCCTTATGCTTCTTTGTTTTCACGTTTGTCACAAAAATTATGGATGAAACTTGATTCTACGTACCCATAAGAATAAGTTACCAGTGGTCCTTTGGTTGTTAGGTATACATTGAATTAATGTAAACAAATTGGGTGGCAAGCTTAATTATTAGCATATTTCTTAATTATATTGGCTGCTATAGCAATGCAAATGAGGCACTTAATTACTGGCTGCTGTTGCAACACTGACCTTGCTATATAAATTCTTGATAGAATTCCATTAGCGATTAGTTAACGACATTGATCTAGAAATGTTAAATTTTTATAATCATTAGTACTAATCAAAACTTAATTTCTAAAATGTCAATGATGAAGATAAAATATTTTATAAATTTGAGTGATCATGAATATAGTTTACTCGAAAACATAAATTGGTTCTCAACTCCATTTAAGTATTTAAAATCGGATATGATAACAAATTCTAAAATAGACGAAACGAGATTAATTTATAAGATATTAAGAGAAATTTCTCTTGTTATGTAGTTCAAGACTCAAGGTTTAAGTCTCTAAAAAATTATAAATTTCTTTATTCTTTGCCATTAATATATAACACGTGAAATTATGAAAAATGCACTTGATCATCATTGTTCCCACAAATTGAAAGAGAATAGTAAAACTGATTTTACTGTAAGCTCAAATAGTAGAGTTCACAACTGTTTACAAATTTTAATTTTACTTTTTTTTATCGGCGTTTGAAATTGAATCTTATAAATCTAAAGGTCATTATGCAAAATTGAATCTTATAAATCTAAAGGTCATTATGCAATGACCTTACAATAAGATTAAATTTCATGATGTTACTATAGCAAAGAAGATAATATATATATAAGAGTGAGGTATGTAATTTATTGTCCTTTGTGAGTTTTCTTGTTGTACTCCAAGACAAGGGAGAGAAGACACATAATTTTTTTTCTATCTTGTGAATAAGTTAGATAGATATATCTCCATCATAATTCTTCATGAACCTTATCGCTATTGGAATCATTCACTCGTGTTTCACATTGTAGTTGAGGCCATTTCTATTTTTTGTTTTTGTCTTTTTTTTCAGGTGTAAAAGACGAAATGTGATATTTTGTTTTTTGGTCAATTTGTTTTATATCAATTTAATATGATTGTTTCCATGTCCAAGGGGACAAAGAAAATGTGCCTTCTTACTTCTCAAATTTTCCATTAAAAATTCAGTGCAAATTAATTAAATATGCACAAGCACTAATAGACAGACCTAGCTAATTATTGTTTTTGTTTTTGTTTTTCTCTCTAAGAACATGTTATTCACATTATAATCGAGGTACTAGCTAATTACTCTGATTTTTATTTTTTATTAAAAAATTTTTCATCCATATTTTTGTTATTTATCTTTTATTTGTTTTTTAAAAAATAAATAGTAAAAATATCAATCAAATAGAATTTCAGAATAACATACAAAATGCGCATGTGAACACTAGTTGATTTTTGTTTTTTTAGTGAATTTATTGATAACAAGACAACAAAGGAAACAATGATAGTCATTGGCTTTTAATAATAAAATACGAATTAAATTCAATGAAATTAGTAAAAGGACAAAATTATGAAAGATAAAATTGTCTTTGAAAGGTGAAACTTTGTCCGAAAGATGAAATTTCATAATATTATTATGAGAAAGACATAATAATTAAAAATTATAATAAATAAAGATAATAGACATCTCAAAATGGATGGACGTGTGACACTCAAACAAGGGAAAAAAAAAACTCACTCAGACCTGGAGGATAAAGGCAAGATCAATTAATAAATTGGGATTTGATGAAGAACATAGTTACTAATTAAGACCAATGAAATGTGAGACATGGTGTCTTCAAGTTATAATACAAATTTATATATATCTTTATATGTAAAGATATAAGGGAGAAAATGGCAGTGTCGTATTTAATGAAAATATGTTTGTCTTTGGAAAAGGGGACAAAAACAGGGAAATTAAGACACCCAACAGAATATTTAGATCAAAAAACAAGGTCAACATTTTTTGTCCTGGAGCCAATTAGGAAAAATAGATCACGTACATAACTTAAAATCCTAGATGCAGGAGAGGTGTCTTTTCATGTGTGGCTTAAATTCATTGAATTTTTGCGCACACACATACATGTGTAAGAATTGAAGAATAAAGGATAAAATTTCAATCTTATTTTGCCATAATGCTCGAAAAAAATTCTTGAATTGTTTTTGAAAGTTTGAATAAATTTTTGTTTTTTATTAAAATTAATTAAATCTTTAAACAAGTGACATTTTGATTAATAATAATTAATCAATCATTAGTTATAAAAACTTATTTGATTCAAAATAAACGTATAAAAACTTGATTGAATGCAATAAAGGAATATGAATTTATTTGAATTTTTCTGAATAGTTTAAGATTTTTTGAAATATTATAACTTTTATTTTTATTTATAGAGAGGGGTAGGATTGGAAACATAAATCACTCAAAAATTTTATAAATAGTATAAATAATTGTACAACAAAATTAGCCTTCGACATGTCAAGTGGGATTAATTTTTAATTTAGACCATACACATAAGATAGAATTTTTTTTTGGTTTTTTAAATTTTCCTAGTTAATTCGAATATTCAAAGTTGGTATAAAAAGCCTTGCGTAGAAGCACTCTTGGCAAGCTTAATTACTCGCCTCTTCTTGTGGTAACAATGCATTGGCACTTGTTGGTTGCTGCTGTCTTAGCCACCTTACTAGCTCCAGCTCCGTCCGACTTTGCCTTCTACAAGCCCAGTCTGATATGGCCACCTTCTGCTTGTAATTTTGGAATCGAATGTGCCAAGCCCATCCACAGCATTTGGGATGTCTCTTTTTTTTTATTAATTTTGTCGTAATAGAATTCAAACTCTCTATACAATAAATTCTGTTAAATTATCTATAAAGCAACTTACAATATAAATTAACCACTTCAAAATATGTATTTAAATAGAACTTACATCTAATTACTGCATGAATTGCTCAAGAATTTAACACTAGATAAGTAATGTCATTATTGATTACCCTTAAATCAATAGTTAATTTAAATATAAGAACTAAATTTTTAAAAATTGGCACAGAGGGACTAAAAGGTAAAATTAAAACACTAAAATGACAAAGTCAAACTTCAACAAAAAAAAAAACCTATGAATTTTATAAAAAATGAAGTTCTATTACTGACAATGTTTTTACTTCCATCACCATTTACTTAGTAAAGCCAACACTCTTACGCTCAAGATTGGCGATGCGGTAGGGGCAGGGTCGTCACCCCGCAAATTTTAATTTTTATTATTATATATATAATTTGATATATATAAAATGGTTATTTTTATAATTACTTTTTAATCATCTTTCATATAAAATCCTTTATTCGTTGTGCTCAATCCTCCTTCCATTCTGATTGACACACCATCTTTTACTTGACTTTGGTTATCTTCCTATTGATTTCACCCCATCCCACGAAAAAGATCTCAATTTATCTAACTGTTTGATCACTCCCTTTGGTGCTTGGAAAACCGAAAGATAATATAAGGGAATAGTCTTTTACACTTCAATCGGACTCATCAGTTTTCTGGTCGTAGTTCCGATTTGCCCATGTATTGACATTGTTTTGACCCAACTATATCTCTCTAATCCTGTAACTCAACAGTTTTTTGGTCTTAGAGCCAATTAGGAGAGTAAAGTTTACGTTCAAATCTCTCAATCATAATCCTTCAAAGTTGTTATGAAAA